AAGGTAAGGTAAGGTAAGGTAAGGTAGGTAGGTAGGTAGGTAGGTAAGGTTAGTTAGGTAGGTAGGTAGGTAGGTAGGTAGGTAGGTAGGTAGGTAGGTAGGGAGGTAGGGAGGTAGGCAGGTAGTTAATGCGCATACGCCAAAGATCTACAAATGTTAACAGGCTACATGACATGTTGCACCTGTGTGTTGGCACATACCATTGCATAGTGCTAGAATGCTGATAGAACATGCTTCTACAGTCTTCTACCTGCAACCTCTCCTGCCGAAGCGCGTGTGCGGCCACGCGTAGACCGTCCTGGAAGCTGGTTTATGAGTCCCACGGACTCAGTTGATGTGCCTGGCCGGAACCTCTTGAAATCTGACTGACGACTGAAGATTTAAGAAGTGGCGCAACACTCTGAGAGCACATTCCCGTAAGGGCTTGTGCAAGCCGTGAAGCTTGTGCTATGGCTGCTATGGATGTGTAGGGTGGCTGTAGGATACGTGTTCCGGTGCTTGAACCTCAAGCTTCAAGGTGGCGAATTCCCTTGGGGTTGCAAGCTTGGCTGGACTTGGGTCCACTGCCAAGCCGGCCACATCCCAGGGAGGTGGCTAATGGGCCATCCACAAAAATGCCTCGAAATAGACCCTAAAACTTTCAGGCTGACTCTGGCTCTAAAAGTTCCTGGGGAGCAATCATCCCCAGACTCGCCAAGACATGCCGACCCGGGCAGACTCTCAAAGTTCCGACTCAGGCTCGGGAGACGGCGACAGCGGGAAGGTGACCCCCGCCGAGATCTCCTGACTGACCTCGCGGCGCGCATCGCAGCGCGCATCGGCTCCCGGCTTGCGTCAGCGAATCCTGTTGCAGCCGGGCCGCGAGTACTCGCGAAGGCTTGGGCGCAAGGTCCTTGGAGAGACCCTGTCCTGGCGCCATGGCAGCTTCGCCACTAGGGCACATCAGGTTCGTTCATAGGCTTGTAAATTTGTAAGCTTTGCAGCTTGTGGCATGATGTAACACAACGGGAGTCTATCCAGAGAATTCCGGCCTGCCATCCTTTCGCACAGCCTCAGATCAGGACAGGCTCCCAATTCAAGGCTGACACTATCAGATCCAGATCTGGAATCACTGGAACCACTAGTCACTAGCCAAAACAAGGCCAGGCCACAAGTCGAAGGTTTGCGCGGAGAGAGTGCAGCACTCCGTGTCTACATGCCAGTTCACTTCCAGAGGTGAACAGACTGAGTTATTGAAGTCCGTGCCCGTCGTGGAGCCGATGTAGCGCACGGCCCTCCCCAAGGGAGGCTGGCGCCAGTTCTGGACGAAGTTGTTGTAGTCTGCTTCCACGTCCAGCAGGTTCTTGTCGTGGATGATCCGGCAGACTTGCCCGCGGACGATCAACTTAGGGTTGACTGTGCGGTTCGCGGCACCCCCCAGACCGTCCGTGATACCCAGCTGACCCTCGGCCCCTTCGTCACGGAGACCCTCGAGCGGCGCACCGGTGGAGTACACCCAATGGAACTCGTAGGTGTAGTTCACACTGACACCCTTACAAAACGTGAAGTTGTAGAAGTCCCGATCGTCGCTGCTCACATCATCCAGGCCGCAGAAGTAGCCTTCACGAATGGAAGGGGACGACTCCGGGCGCACCAGAGGAGTTGCGAGCCCAACGTCCTCGGCACTGCGGAAGTAGCCGTTCGGGACCTCACTCCTGTGCTCGGCGCCGAGGTGGAAGTGCAGGTTCGCCTGGATGAAACGTGGGGTGGCGTCGCCGTCCAAGGGGCGTACCCGGGCCTCCAGGCCACCCCGGAAGCCAGGAGTAAGATCTCGCGGCGACTGTGGCTCCGCATCCTCACAAAGCAAAATCTTTGCCGTCTCGTTGGATGTCTCGGCAGCGTTGCTCAAAAGCCTCGGAAGGGAGCAATGCACGCGGGTTGACGGACGTGCCGAGTGCAGACAGCCGAGCTGCGCAGGACTGAATTGGGGCAGAGAGCTCGATGGCCGCAAGCTAGCGTGCTTCTTGAACCTGTCGAGATCGGCAACCCGAATATGGTGAAAGCCCCATCCCCATACTCAGCCCATGCTGATTCTGGTCTCAGCGACTGCATCAAGGCCGAATCCTCGACCTGGCAGTGCGTGCAGTCCTGCCAGGATCCCCGCATTTCCCCACCCTCCACCAACCTCGCGGCCTCGCATCAACTGCGTAGTAGGGCCTTGTATAGGGCATAGGGCATATATAAGTACAAAAGCTAAGAGCACTTCGCAATCACAATTCCCCACAACCCGACCCATCACGATTCGTTGGTCCCTGTTGGGTCTCCGGAGAGAGTCGTTAGAGTAGCCGAGCTGACAGCAGTGGTCGTTATCTCTTTCTCCCTCCCCAGCTTGCTCTCGTCATTCGGTCCTTGGGAAGGGCGCTGGCAGCAGCGAAGAGGAGGAAGAGATACATGGCAACGCACTTCTATGGCACGTCTCGTCAACGGGCTAGAGGCTATGAGCGAGGCTCTAACTTGAGGTCAACAGCGGGCAGAACTGCGCTACATCCAGGGCTTTCGCTCCCTTACGACGCAGAGTTGCTGACTGCCTCCAACCTTTTCGCCTGGTCTGCATGATCGCGGGCTATGCGATTCCACAACAGGATGAAGTAACTCGGAGACGGGACCGAAAAGCTCTCCCCTCCGTGCGAAGCTTTACCTTCTTGACAAGTAAACGAGAAAGAGTTGAAGCTAAACGAGTCTTGGCGGTCCGGGGCCACAGGCAAACCCTGCGGAGCAGGACTCGCGACAAGCCCGACTGGACTTGGGTCCACTGCCAAGCTTGGCGAGATCCTCGCGATGGCTAAAGGGCCATCCACAAAAATGCACAGTGCGACGGTGCAACGGGCGTGTTCTAAAAGTTCTGGGCCATCACCCAGGCTCGCTGGCCCGTCGCGAACTACAGAAGGCAGCTTCGTCAAGGGCTGCATTAGGACGCCTCACTGAAGGATTTCTGGTAGGGGCGATACAGCCAGAGGGTAGGTCACCACGGCGGAGAGGTTTCGGCTCACCTCAGTCTTGCCCACGGGAACTTTTTGGAAGCTTGGGTCTCACTGCCAAGCTGCCAGTTCCCGGGATGGCTTCGGTGCGAGGTCCTTCACCAACCCCTGGCCTGCACAGAAGCAGGCTGAAACAGGCTGAGGCGCTGCACTGCATTAAACGCGGGCAGAGTGGCGGCTCATCTCAAGGCAAAGCCTTAAGGATCATGGCAAAACTAAAAAGACACCAAGGCAAGCCAATCAGTCGGGCCACCTGTCGAAGGTCTGCGCGGAGAGAGTGCAGCACTCCGTGTCTACATGCCAGTTCACCTCCAGAGGCGAGCAAACGGAGTTGTTGAAGTCCGTTCCAGTGGTGGAGCCGAGGTAGCGGACTCCCCGTGTCTCCGGTGGCTGGCGCCACTTCTGAAGGAAGTTATCATAGTCCGCGTCCACGAGAGATGCGTCCATGTCCAGGCTCTTGTTGTAGATGATCCGGCAGACTTGCGCACGGACGATCAACTTAGGGTTGACGGTGCGGGCCGCGGCACCCCCCAGACCGTCCGTGATACCCAGCTGACCCTCGGCCCCTTCGTCACGGAGACCCTCGAGCGGCGCACCGGTGGAGTACACCCAATGGAACTCGTAGGTGTAGTTCACACTGACACCATCGCAATGCACGAAGTTGTAGTAGTCCCGATCGTCACTGCTCACATCATCCAGGCCGCAGAAGAAGCCTTCACGGATGGACGGGGACGACTGCGGGCGCACCAGAGGAGTTGCGAGCCCAACGTCCTCGGCGCTCTGGAAGTAGCCGTTGGTGATGTTGGATTTGTGCTCGGCACCGAGGTGGAAGTGGAGGTTCGCCTGGATGAAACGTGGAGTGGCATCGCCGTTCAAGGGACGCACCCGGGGCTCCAGGCCACCCACGAAGCCAGGAGTAAGATCTCGTGGTGACTGTGGCTCTGCATCCTCACACAAAAGCACCTTCCCCTCTGCTGCCGGCACTGAGGTCGTTGTCCTTGTGGTGGGATTCCCTCCATTCCCTCCAGAGTAACCATAGTAGCCCCGCCGTCCATGCCACCACCCTTGCTTCCACCTCCGTTGCTGCCACTTCTTCCAAGGTCCATCGATCCGATCTGCCTCCTTTACGGAGGACCTTCCAAGTACACTCGATGTTCGTGCTGCGACGGTACAGTATGTCAGTGTTTGAGCTGCCAGCTACATGAACGCCAGAAGCCGCATGCACAAAGAAGGGCCTTGCGGGCGCATCTTGCATCAGGGAGGCGTCCTCAACTTCCAACGGACAAGCTTCCTGCCGGCAGTCCTGAGACGCAGTCGTTCTCCTTCTGCAAAGCCGGACCCCCTCTCAGGCTGCTTTGAGGCTCCGGCTTGAGACAGCGCAGCCGCAGCTGAGACGACCACGACCAGGCGCTTCATCATAGCCATGGGCATCACGAGCACACTGGACGCCTCTATGGACACTCCCAACTCTGCCGAAACCCGCCGGTGCAGCGCGATGCACTCCTGATGTCGCTCCCACACTTCGCACGGTTGCTGGCGTAATCAGTTCAAGCCTTTTCGCCTTGTCTTGTGTGAGCGCGGGATCTGCGATTCCACAACAGAACGGACTAGGAGACGGGCGTTTCACCTCACCTCCGTCTTGACAAATCAGGATCTGCAATTCTCTACCTCTGCTTCCTGAAAAGTACACGAAAAAGACTGGAACAGTAAAGAGTCTAAGCGGGGCCCACAGGCAAACCCTGCGGGGCAGGACTCGCGGCAAGCCCAGCTGGACTTGGGTCCACTGCCAAGCTTGGCGAGATCCTAGCGATGGCTAAAGGGCCATCCACAAAAATGCACAGTGCGACGGTGCAACGGGCGTGTTCTAAAAGTTCTGGGCCGTCACCCAGGCTCGCTGGCCCGTCGCGAACTACACAAGGCTGGAGAGCAGTCCGCATTCCATCTTCCGGATTCAGCTGCTTTTAGCCCTGCTGCACGATGCCGGCACCCTGTGGGACCAGCGGGAAGGTCACCTCGCGGTCCGAAGCACATGCCGTGACACGCGATGCCCATGAAGGAAAGTCTGTGAAGGCGGAGGCGCATCCGAGACCCAGCGCCGATCCACAGGCCGGCGCGAGCCCTTCGGGGAGACGTCGGCTTCCAGCCCAGCATCTATCATGTCCTGACAGGACACCAAAGCAGGCAGAGCAGGGCAGAGGCAGCCCATGCAGCAGCTCCTTGCAGAGGTTGTCCATGGCCTGGGCCGACAAGATGCAGCACCTTTGGTCCACGTGCCAGTTCACCTCCACAGGCGAGCAGACCTGCCAGCTGCCGGCCAGAGCCAGTGTCGAGAACATGACACCATGTCAGTGTGCCTCGTCGTCGTAAGCGGTGCCAGTGGTGGAGCCCACGTACCGCACAGCTGAGCCGGCCGGAGGTTGCTGCCACTGTTCCAGGAACGTCCGGTTTTTGGCGTCCACGTAATCGTTCTGCAAGGAGATACGGCAGATGCGCAAGAAACAACATCTAAAAGCAGCATAACGAAGATCACTCGAGCTATCGCAGCTCAGCAGAACTTAAAGCTCGGCATGCTGGCGGTCCAGGGAAGGGTCGTTGACGATGAGGCAGACCTCCACACGCTGCATCTGCGATATGCGCGACAGGGTTGCACACTTCGCAATCACCGTGCCTGCGCCCGGACGATGACATCCGCGTTGTTGGTGCGGGTGAAGGC